ATAAACTCTTTGACACTGATCTTAGAAACATTTTCCTGGATATATCTTCTTAGGGAAGGGGAACAAAAGCAAAAATAAACTGTTGGGACTACATCAAAATAAAAACCTTTTGCACAGCAAAAGGAACCATCAACAGAACAAGGCAACCTATTGAATGGGAGAAGATATTTGCAAACAGTATACCTGATAAGGTTTTAGTATGCAAAATATATTTAAAAACTTATATAACACCAAAAAATCCAATTTAAAAATGGGCAGAAGACCTGAATAGGCATTTCTCCAAAGATGACATACAGATGGTTAACAGACACCCCAAAAGATGCTCAACATCCCTGATCATCAGGAAAATGCAAATCAAAACCACAATGAGATATTAACCTATACTATCAGAATGGCTAAAATTAAAAAGACAAGAAATAATAAGTATTATAGAGGATGTGGAGAAAAAGGAACTCTTGTACACTGTTGGTGGGAATGTAAATTGGTATAGCCACTAGGAAAACAGTATGGAAGTTCCTCAAAAATCAAAAATAGAAATACTGCATGATCCAATAATTCCACTTCTGGGTCTTTACCCAAAGAAAATACAAACACTAATTCAAAAAGATATCTGCACCCCTATGTTTACTGCAGCATTTTTGTAATAGCCAAGAAATGGAAGCAACCAACGTATCCACTAATAGATGAATAGATAAAGAAAATATGGTTGTGTAAAAGCTTTTTATTTTGGTATAGTCCTAATAGTTTATTTCTGCTTTTGTTCCCCTTGCCAAAGGAGATGTATCTAGGAAAATGTTTCTTAAAGCTGATGTTAAAGACATTACTGCCTATGTTTTCTTCTAGGACTTATATGGTTTCAGGCCTCACATTTAGTTCTTTTTTTTTTTAAGATTTTATTTCTTTCCCCATGAGACACACACACACACACAGAGAGAGAGAGAGAGAGAGAGAGAGAGAGAGAGAGGCAGAGACACAGACAGAGGGAGAAGCAGGATCCATGCAGGGAGCCTGATGTGGGACTTGATCCCGACCCCAGGATCACGCCCTGGGCTGAAGGCGATGCTAAACTGCTGAGCCACCCGGGCTGCCCTCACATTTAGTTATTTAATCCATTTCAAGTTTATTTTTGTGTATGGTGTAAGAAAATCATCCAGTTCTACTCTTTTGCATGTTGCTGTTCAGGCTTCCCAGAACTATTTATTGAAAAGACTTTTTCTCATTGCATATTCTTGCCATCCTTGTTGTAGATTAATTGACCATATAATTAGGGTTTTATTTATGGGGTCTCTATTGTGTTCCATTGATCTGTGTGTCTATTTATGTGCCAGTACCATCCAAACAAAGAAAAAAAGAGACCAAAGAAATCAGACTCTTAAATATAAAGAACAAATTGGTGGTTGCCAGAGGGGAGGTGGGTGGGGGGTAGGTGAAATAGATGAAGGTAATTAAGAGTGGACTTATTGTGATGAGCAGTGAGTAATGCATAGAATTGTTGAATCCCGTCTTCTGCATACCTAACACTGAACAGAACGCTGTACGTTAATTTTACTGGAATTACAAGCCATTGCCTTAAATATATACAATTGTGAATCTCAGGTACATACACTTGTACACCTTAAATATGTAGAATTTTTATTTGTCAATCATAGTTCAATAAAGCTAGGGGAAATTTTCCAGTACACCAATAAAGAAGATGCACACAATGGAATATTACTCAGCCATAAAAATGAATAAGATCTTACCATTTGTGACAGCGTGGATGGATCTAGAGGGTATAATGCTAAGTGAAATAAGCCAGAGACTGACAAACACTGTATGACTTTACTTATATGTGGAATCTAAAAAACAAAACGAACAAACAAAAACCAGACACAGACTCATAAATACAGAGAATAAACTAAATGGTTGCCAGAAGGGAGAAAGGTGAGGGGATGGGCAAAATGAGTGAAGGGAAAAGGTAGATACAGGCTTCCAGTAATAGAATAAATAAATCATGGAGATAAAATGTACAGCATGGGGAATATAGTAAATGGTGTAATGGCATTATATAGTGTAGCTACACCTATGGTAGACATAGCATAACATACAATCTCTATATTGTACATCTGAAACTGATGTAACATTGTGTGTCAACTATACTTTATACACATTATGAAATGAGCAATAAAATTGTAACTTTAAATTTTAAAAAGAAACTATAAAAGTTTTGTCAGTAGCTGCTACCATTGAACATGTGCATATTCCCTGATCTAACAACAGCATTACTCTTGGTGATTATTAGAGTGGTTTCTAGTCATTTCTTAAATTATAAATTGGTTAAATAAAATGATATTCAAGCAATGGAATAAAATGCAGCACTGAAAATGAATAACTCACTGCTATTTGTAACAAGAGGGTAACTTACAAGTATAATGCTGAGCAAAAGGAACCAACATAAAAATCATTCATACTATGGAATACCGTTTACATAAAGTTCAAGACAAACAAAACCTTTAGAGGAGACAGAGCAATGGTTACAATGGATAGTGTTTGAGAGGGGGACATGAGGAAGGGCTGTTTGGAGCTGGCAATATTCCAGATCTTGACCTGAGTGTTTTCACAGGTGAGTTCACTTTGTGATAACTCATCAAGTAGGATGCTTGTGATTTATGCACATTTCTATATGCATATTTGAATTAAAAGTTTACTTTTATAAGTAGTTTTTAAAAGTTTTTGGCAATTTATATTGGTTGGGATAGTTTTTCTAAGGTTGGTATGCTATTTGAGAAATTCACGAAAGAATCTTCCTAAAAATGCTAAAATGTTGGCAAAACAGAAATTGACAAGAGTTCAAAGGAAATCAGCATAAATGGGAAAGCTCCCATTGCAATGCAGGCATTTTAGATATAGTCATAAGAATAATATATTCGTGAATATATTCATAAGAATGTTTACATTTGAAACCATATTCATCTTGACTATATTCAGTAAATGTATTCAAAATGAGAATCAGTAAATTTGGTATATTCAGCAATGAACATAGTCATAAGAATATATTCACAAAAAATATGTTTCATGAATATATTCACAGAATTGGCAAATCTGTCAAATTTGGTGAATTGGCTTTTGACAATGGACCCTGAGGCCCTGCTGGAAAGTGTGGGGGGTGGGAAAGGTATCAATAGCTATCACTAGCTGGGATAGGCCAGATCTTAGCTTTCCCAGGATATTTCCTAGAACTGAAAGAAAAATATGAATTCCAACTCCTGCACAATCCTCTTGTCTCCACCTCTAGTCAAACCACTGACCTGATTCTGTAAGATACAACCTCAGCCACCTCTTTCTCTCAGAGGAAGAGACATCCAGATCACTCTTCTAGCAGCCATTGCTACAGCAGAGCAATTATTACCTTTCCCAGCAGGTTTTGCCATCCAAAACATGAACTGCTCTACTTCGTGTGATATTAAAGGGTGATTCTCCTGAGCATTCAGTGACTAACCTTTAGGGAGAGTTTAGGGATGGGCTCTGAGACTATCTGAAATTAACCCTACTCCAGTGGCTAACCTAGTCTGGTCCCACAACTCCAAATGGCAGTTGCTCACATTTGTTCCACTGACTCAAGACATAAATGATTGAGCAAATGTCTTGGCTGATCCCCATATCCATGCCTCATGCCCCAAAGGCAGTCTGCAGGAGGTCAGAGAAGGTTGTATGAAGGTAGGGATTCACCTACCACCAGGGCAGAAGGTACTTCCAGACCTCAGGCCTGCAGAGTCACTGCTGATCTAAATCCTTCTCCCTCAGAACAGTTACTTAGGATTACAGCCAGCATGCAGTTCCCTTGTGTGTGTAAATGCACACGTGTGTGTGGAGGGGGAGCAGGAGCCAGACTGCAGAAAATGTCTGCCTCCAGCTCTGTCACATACCAACTACCCTGACCCTGAAGCCTCCCTGAAGCAGCTCCAGAAAGGGCCATTCTCTGGACTGGGCATCCCAGGGAGTGCAGGCCAGCCCTGGTGTCCAGCAGAGGGGGCCCATGCTCTGCTCTGCCCCCAGCTTGTCCCCCTCAACATCCTGGGCTCAGGCTCTCTTGTTCTACTCTCCCGTCCTGTCTTGTCCTCCCTCCAAGTGAGCCTCACAGCCTCTCTTGCTTCTCTACTTGGGTCTTGATGGACCAGCCTGCCTTTTCCCCCAACTCCCTGCCCCTGTGTCCTCTGCCATCATCTATGAAGTACTACAGGACAGGAGTGAGGGATGAATTCTGAAGAACATCTGTGTTCCAATCCTGGCTTCACCACTCACTGGTAACATGGCCTCAGGCAGCATGTCCCCATTTTAGACATGAGAGAATGGATCACCCAGAGGGATGTTGTGAGGACTAATGAGACCATCCATGTGGAATGTTTCATGCAGTGCTTGTTACATGGTTTTAATTGAATTACAAAGTGCCCATCTGCGAAAGGCCTGTGTAGGAAGGATTCCCGAACCCAGAAAACCAGATGCCTCCAGGGATTACCTTGCTTATTTCCAACTTTTCTGAGTAGCCCACACTTAAAATAATGTGTCCAGGGGTCTTCTATGAACTTAGTCCCTCTTGGGCAGGGTAAAGAATGATGAGCTCAGTACATGCCAGGCTCTGTTCTAGGTGCTTGCTCTTATCATCTATTCAGCATTTCTTCCCCATGCTGGGGCAAATGTCAACAGATCCCCCACCCTGGAGAGTGTACAGGCTGAGGTATAGGAAACATGCCACGTGTTTGGCACATGTGCTAATATAAACAAGTGCTATTTCTATAATAATCCTAGTTTTAAATGTTGTCCTTGGCTCGCTCTTCTTTCTTTCTTTCTTTCTTTCTTTCTTTCTTTCTTTCTTTCTTTCTTTCTTTCTTTCTTTCTTTCTTTTTTGGGGGGGTGGAGGTTGAGAATAAGAAAGTTTTCCTCCATCTCTATTCATTGACTGCTGCCCCTGGGCCTTCCCAGATGCCTCTCCGCTCTAGGCCTCCCCACATCCTCAACCATACCTTCCACCTTGGGCTTGGCCTCAGCCAGCCGCTCCTGGAACTTTTTCTTGAAGAAGAGGGCCTGCAGTCGCTGCTGGTAGTGGTCGATCCTGTGGACAGGGCAAGCTACATCATGAGGCAGCCCTGTCCAGCCCCAGGAGCTAGCTCCAGCCCTTCCTTTACCTGTGCACTCCCAGCCCCTCCTCTGTGCCTGCTGCCCTGACCTGCTCATTTCATAGAGGAAGCGATCAGCACGGGCCATCCGCTCTATTTCATGCTTGTGCTCCTCAAGGAGGTCAATGTCGCTTTTCTCTGGGATGAACTTGAGGAGCTGTAAAGAGCAGATGAAGGTCAGACAGGAAACTGGTGAGAAGCTGATATGAGCATGTGATGCATGGATGCACATACACTGAACACGCTCAAGATGGGGAAGGGTCCTTAAGAGAGAGAGGCATCCTCATGTGGGAGAGTTACTCTTCATCTGCCTAAAGGGGACCACAGGACACTCAGCTCCAGACATTTCTTTTTTCACTTTTTAAAACTGAGATGGAATAAAAAGTATACTGTTCTTAGGTGCACAGCTCAATGATTTGTTTTTCTATAAACAAAACCCAAGTTTATTGAAGTATAATTTATATAAAATGTATCCATCTTTTTTTTAAAGATTTTTTTTTTAATTTGAGAGTGAGAGAACAGAGGCAAGGGGAGAGGGGCAGAGCGAGGGAGAGGAAGAACCCTAAGCAGACTCTGTGCTGAGTACAGAGCCTGATGCAGGGCTCAATCCCAGGACCCTGAAATCATGACCTGAGTCACAATCAGGAGTCAGATGCTTCACCAACTGAACCACCCAAGCACCCCAAAATTCATCCATCTTAAGTATGCAATTCAATGAGTTTTCACAAAACCACCCACTGAACCCCCATCCAGATTAAGATCTAGATTTCCATTCCCTAGAAAGTTCTCTTGTATCACTTCAATGAGCCAACCCCTCCCCCACTATAAACTCAACTAAATTCTATCACCTTAGATTAGATTTGCCTATTCTTGAACTTCACATAAATGGACTCGTGCTGTGTGTTTTCTTTGATGTCTGGCTTCTTTCACACAACGTACTGTCTGGGACTCATCCATGCTGTAAGTATTGGTAGTTTGCTTTTTATACATTGCTGAACAGTATTCTATTGTAGGAATATACCAGTCTATTTATTCACTTTCTTATTGATGGACAGTTGGGTTGTTCCATGAATAAAACTGTTATAAATATTCTTGAGTATATCTTTTATAGTCAATGTTTGCATTATATCTCTGCATCTAGCAGTGGGACTGCTAGGCAGTAGGGTAGGTTCAGCCTTTGTGTGTACTGCGAAATTGTTTTCCAAATTATTACACCCAATGAGAATTCCAGTTGCTTCATGCCCTTGCCAGCATTTGGCATTGTCAGTATTTTCAATTTTAGCTATTCCAGTGGGTGTGTAGTTCTGCCTCAGTGCGTTTACTCTATTTCTCTAATAGAAGAAATTCTCTAATGGCTAAGAATGTCAAGCCACTTGGAAATTCTCTTTCATGAAGTACCCGTTCAAGTCTTCTGCTCATTTTCAAGTGAAGCTGTTTGTCATTTTCTCACTGATTTGTAGAGCTCCTAGAAATGTCTTCTACGGTCTGGCTTGTCTTCTCACTCTAGTAATGGTACCCTTCAATGAACAGAGTTCTTAATTCTAATGAGGTCCAACTGATGGTGGTTTTATTTGGTGCCTTCTAGGTTTCTCTTGAAGGACCCAATAAATTGAGGTTAAAGAGATTTGGGGAATATATGACTATGGGTCACTCTGACTTGCCTTGAGACCCAGGAGGGATCATAGCTCATATCTCCTGTCAAGGGCCTCAATTCCCTGGAAAAGATGCAGTCTTCCTTCCTTCCTTCCTTCCTTCCTTCCTTCCTTCCTTCCTTCCTTCCTTCCTTCCTTCCTTCCTTCCTTCCTTCCTTTTTTTTAGTTATTTTGATGCAGTCTTTCCTGATATCCCCTCAGAATGGCTGGTATAGGGGATATCTATAAATTTCTCCTCAACTCCTCTATCCTCCAGCCTGATTTCCCCTTGACCTAAGAGTCTTGGCCTCTCTGTGGGCAGGAAGAAGTGCAGCTGCCCCCTAGTTTCAGCTCCCAACCCCTCCCCACGAGGGGCCTCACCTGCTCCAGCATGTCCTTAGCGAGGTCCTCTTGTTCGTCCATCTTCAAGATGGCTTGCCGGATCTCCTCATTAGAAAGCTTCAACCTAAGGCAAAACCCTGCCCCTTGAGCAGCCTGGCCTGGCCACTCTGCTCAGGACAGACCCCAGCCATTCCCCTCCACTGCACTCTCTCCCTCACGTGGACATGGGAGTATATTCCATAGTGCTCTCCCCTTACCTCCTCTGCAAAGCCTTCTCTAACTAAACTCATATAGTTTACTCCATAAACTTAATAATTGGATATTTTATTCTCTAAGTATTGGCTGGAGTCTGGTCTCTTGCTTGAGTCTCTGACATAAGTGGTAGGGACATTTGGGAGTAAAAGGGCCATCTCTAATGTAGACAAAGAGGGCAAAAGGTTTCTGATCCTTCTCCTCCTTATGCCTAAAATACCTACTGCATCTCCAAGGGAGGATGGGAATATCGGCAGGCAGGCCACAGAGGGGGCTGTTTCCTGCTTCCTTCATTGTCAGAAGACAGAATAGCTCTCAGGTCTTCTGACAGCGCCTCAGCTCCCACACAGCTGTTCCCATACATCTTGCTGTCTGAGTGAGGGACAAGCCAACCCCTACACACACACACACACACACACACACACAGCCCTTCCCTATCCCCTCCAGATGCACACCACTTGGAGCCCTGGAGTCACAGAACTCTCCCCCACCTTCAAGAGAGAGAAACTGAGGCCTGGGGCCTGTGGGAAGAAAGGGGAATGGATGTCCCAGAGACGCTGGGGCAGTACTAAGAATAGTATGGGTGGTGGTACCCTCTGACCCTGGCTCAGGCGGGAGGCCCCGCACAGAAGCCGTGCTGTTAGTACAGATACTGCCCTGTTTGTTCGGCAGCCGCGGGAAATGCTTGGGGGCTGAGATCATGCTGCTCTGTGGCCTAAGCCTAGCGGGGCCCTCCATGGGCTTAGAGTAACTCTGCTGCCAGACGCTGATCAGGCTGGTCAGACCTCGTGACTGGGGCAGTTTCCTGTCTGTAGAGCCTCACACAGCTGCTGAACATGGGCTCCCAAGAAAAGGTTCTAGATCAGTGGTCATCTACCATTCTCAGGGGGCTTCAGGGGCAGGGGAAGCACAGAGACTGCTGTCGCCTCATTCCTCTGCTACCCCTTGTCCCCCAGGGATTCAGTTCTGTTGTAGGCTTTTGCTCTAGCACCCTTAGGGGTCTGCTTCCTGGGGGGTCCATCCCTCCCACCACGGACTGAAGAGGCAGGGCAAACACATACTTGGAGAGAAGGATGATGCAGTTCTGTGCCCTTCGGCCATCAATGACTGACAGTTCTTTGACCTTGCGGGAGGCCAGGTAGATGTCCTCTGTGGAGCCCAGTTCTTTCTGAAACCAACAAGCCAAGTAGAAAGGTTGAGGTATGCATGTGTTCCACAATCCTCTCCTTGCCCAACCCACCCCCCCAGGAGCCACTCCCAGCCATCAGGGGTTGCTCCTGGTGCAAGCAGAAGAAAGGATAAGAAAAAGATAGGAGAGAGAGACAGAGAGACAGAGAGACAGAGAGAGAGAGAGAGAAGGGTGGTTAATAACCAACTCTACTAGGAAGCATCTAGGCTAGAAGGGGTTGGGGCAATGAAGAGCCCCTTTTTTTAGACATTGCCCTCTCTGGGCAAACTGGAGAAGGAACTTTCCCAATGTAGGGGGAGTAACTGGTACCTATGGCTTTGGGCAATGTGATATTATCCCCAGCATCACAGAGAATCAACCCCCACTCTACCACCCCACCTGGAGAGCTTCCCCAAGCTTATGATGAGAAGCTGGTTCCAAATACCCATCAGGTCAGTTCCTGGACACCTGGGGACTTTAGGCACTGCCCAATGTGCCCAGAGTAGAAGGCATTCACAAGTTCAGAGGTGGGGAAACTGAGGCAGAGTTCCATGAAGAATTCTTTCCACTGGGGTTCCACTAGGCAGATTCCCCAAAAGTCAGATCCCCTCCCTTTTCTTGGGCCCTTGGTGAGGTAAATAGGAAACGAGTTTTTACTCTAGTATTCCAAGCACATGCTCCGTGTTGCATAATTCCAGGGGCTGCCACTCACATCATTATCTTTGTGAATTGTGCCCTTGGGATTGTGCAGCATCCGGCCTGTGCAGTGTTATAGTATGGCCTTGCCTTGGGCCAGGTGGGTAAAACCATAGACTTGGAACTTTCTCCTTACTCCAGGAAACATTCACCTCCATTGCTGGTTGGAGTCTGCTTGAATTACTTCCCTCCCCTATGTTTCTGTTTTATCTTTCCCATGTTGCCTGTAGGGATGAGTCATAAAGGTAGAAGGCAGGATGAATAAGCCCTCTTTTGGCCAATACAGGGCAGCAGCCCAGGACAGTGGTTAAAAGTTAGTGTCCAGAGCCCCAAGAGTGACTCACCTGCTGAGAAGGATTAGTTATCAGCTCCTAGGCAGGTAGCAGCCACAGCCAACAGAGAATTAAACATGCACAATGTTAGCCAAGAGGTCCAGGGACCCATGGACAGTAGAAGGGACATGGGGACCCCTGAGCATTTACTCTGTCCACCCCATCCCAATGAGACCCACATGGCTGGAGATGGAGACTGGCAATTAGCCTTGGACAAAAGTGCTTCTAGCAGACATGCACTCAGAGAAGCCAAAGTGGAAAGCAGGCAGATCTTCCTGACCTGGGCCTGGTGGGACAGGCTGTTGGGGCAGGCCAGGACCCCAAGCTTCCCAACCCCAGGCCTTGGCTGCTATTCTTCCCTGTTCTTTGTTGGGAAACTGCCCAGAGGGCAGAGAGCATTTCTCTACTGCTGGATGACGTCCTCTTTCCAAATAGGAGAGGAGATACAACCAGAAGGGGCCAGAAACATGTGGAAGTTGCATTCATTGAGGCAGAGGAATGCAGGTGTTCCTGGATTTCACCCCTTTCCCTTTGTCTTTTGATTTCTAAGGGAGCTAAGGGGGCAGGGCCCACACCCAATTCTCCCTTCCTGACCCTAATGGAGTTTAAGTCACTAATTCAGGAGCTGAGTAAGACATAGAAGGAAGACCTTTGTGGTCATAGGACATCCCCCTCCCTACCAAGCTATGTACCCGGGACACAGGATAGGAAGAGGCCACCAGGGACCAGGGCCACACAGCCCCTGGGATCTTTCCAGCCCTGCTGCTATGAATTCAGCCTGAGTCTAGGTGACCCATCAAGTGACAATAGTCTGGGTAGGCCCAGCACCGAAACAGGGGATTAAGAGAGGAGATGGGGACGAAAGGGGTATTTCCATCTTAACTCTTCTCCAGTCACCAAACTGGCCCCAGACCTAGTTTGTTTTAAACCCCCATAGCCCTGAGTGGGAGACTGGTCTGGCCTGGAACCGTGGCCAAGAGGAAGACTCTAACTAGGGGGAGGTATGTGATTGACCATGCCTGATATACCCCTTGCACATGCTCCCTCCTCCCATTCAGGAGCACTGATCCACAGGAGCACTAAGGGTTCAGAACAACTCCTTTCCACTACTGTTAAGCCATAGCTGCTGCCTATTGGCCATACCAGCCTGATATTGGCAGGGACTAAAAATGCTGCCTAGAATTAGGATAAAGAATCCTATGCCTTGATATCTGCATTTAAATTAAATAACAACCATCTGGTTTTTCTAGAATCCCGAGTCCAGACCAGAGTCCCTCTCCAACTCTGTCCCTTTGGCTAGGCCTTTAAGAGGAGTCTCAAGTACCCACAGGTCTGAACTTGGCAGGGGAGCCCAGCCGCAATATGCAGCTGCTACCCAGGGTCCAGTAAGGCACAGACCCCACTCACTGGCACCTGGGATGTTCTCAGGGCTGGCACCCTGGGCTCAGGCAGAGGGGACTGGAGAAAGTGGCACAGCATGGACAGGAAACAACCCTCAGAGGGAGGCCAGAGAGAATGTACTCTAAAGTCCCGAGGCTGGGAATGCCCAAGCTGGACTTGTGGGGAGGTCACCCAGATTTGCTAGATACAGTGCAGATTCCTTGGCCCCGACTCATTTCTTGACTCACATCCATGTGAGGACAAGGTCCAAGAATCAGCACTTTTGGCAATGCCCACCGGCACTACCTCAAAATGCCCTGCATTCTGTCCCCCTCCCACCCCTCCTATTGCAGGAAGAACAGGCTGACTGCCCGGCCATATGTAAATAGTGTCTGCAGAGCAAAGCCCAGGGCTCTCACAGCCCTGCCCAGGCCCAGACCCAGCCTTAACCCCCTAACATGACCTGGAGCAGCTCCATCTTCCTTGAAACACTGACATCCTTGGCTAACTGACTTGAGGAGTTGAGAGAGCATGGTGGAGAAAGCAATTTTAAAATTTATCACGCCAGCTAGGTGTAGTCTCTCAACCCTGGGGCCAAAGAGAAAACAGGAGTCAACTGTGGCTAGGGCCTATGACTCCATTTCCAGTGCTCCAAGATGAAAGAGAAATGGACAATACACTATTTCATCGCTTGATGTATAAATACACATAATTGTGGGCCCGAACTATAATACAATAGGATGTTTCCCCTACTGCACTGTATATAATTCAGATCCATGTCCCTAGTAAAGCATGACACCTAAAAAGGAATAAATCATTCAGTATGGATGGGAGGAAGGGTGGGAGGGAGGTGAGGTTGAGGGTTAGGTTCAAGGGGCATAGGTGAAGTTAAAACTGGAAGTCAAGACCCAAGAAGACGGGGGGCAAAGCAAGGTCTTACCTGGTGCCTCTGATAAGCTGAAAACATTTTTTCGAAGTCTTCTAGATCCAGAATCCGAAATACCTGCCTGTCATCAATCTCATTCCATACGGTGCCAGGGACACGTTCCTAAGATTCAGGGAAGGGAGAAGACCCAATTGTTGACTCAGCTCCTTCATGGTAGAGAGGTCCAATGTCTCCCTAACCCCACCTGTTCCCAGCTGCATAAACTATAGTAGTCAGGCTTTCAGGCCTTCAGAAGGGGGTCAATTCGTCTCCCCCAAACCTTCAATATTCTATTCCAGGGAAGAGGCCAGAGATAACCTCTTTGTCCTCCCTTTCTCATGGGGCCACATAGAAGCAGGTTCCAGAAATAAAATGGAGTGCCTGAATGATGGGTAGGCAAATATGAAAGAGTGTATTAAACTCCTTGCAGAAAAACAAAACCAAACCAATGTTCTCAGGGCACACTCCCTAAAGGTCAGGGTTGGCCAGAGTTGCTGCAAGGAATAATGCCCACACATATTTAAGATCCTCAAATCCTTAGTGTATACTGTATTTCCCGTATCTGAGATGGTCACATTCTCTCCTGGGTGGGGGTGGGGGTCTTCCTTCCACTTTCTCAGATTCCCAGAAAGTGGATAAATGCCAAAGCCTGGGACATCCTGGCCCCTAGAGTGACTGCTCAGGCCAGCAACACTGCTACAACTTCCTATTGGTAAGACCCAAGGAAAGTAGCCTATCCCTCATGGTTAGGATGGGTCCAAGGATTTACATTCTAAGGTCTCTCGACCTAGGCACTGCCCTACCTCTGTGTGGGACCCTGGCACTGAACCCCCAACCCAGGAGGAGGCTCCATCAGTGAAACTGAGAACAACTCAGTGGTCTCACAGCACCCTGACAATGGTTCAGAGGGCAGAGAGCACAGCCCCTCCCAGGGTGCTCCGATTCTGTCCTCCCAAGAGCCCTTACCTCATCCCAAGCTTTGCTGACCTTTAAAATGGAATCTCCCACCTTCCTCTGCCTGTAGGGCAGCTGAGGACCCTTCCTAAGGCCACCAGCCCTTCCTCCCTCCATCTCCCCCTCAGCAAGGCTTAGAGAGAGAAACATACCTTTCACTCACTTTTATTTTCTTAAACTCTGGAAAGGGGAGGCTAGGCCAGAGCAGGGGGGCGGGGACATTCCTGTGGCCTTTCTAAGGCCAGGGACCCTCTTGTGGAATGCCGGGCTGGGAAGCTCAGAACAGCAAGGGATACAGGCAACTGGCCAAACCCAACACAGACACATTCTTTTCATGGCAGAAACAACCACTGAGTGTGTGTATGTGTGTGTGTGTTCGTGTGTGTGTGTGCGTGTGTGTACACACAGGAGCACGCGTGGGGTAGGGGAAGGGGACTGGGGAAAGGAGCCAGGCCCCTGGAATGGTGTATGTAGGAGGCAGAGAGAAGATGAGGGGGGAAGTGAATCAGGAAAGCAGAGAAGGGAAAGCTCTAAGTGGTTCCCCATTTGAGTCTAGGCCTGGGGTGGAGGTGGGTTCTATGGGAAAGCCCGCACAGGTATAGCTTGCCACTGTTCTTTACTCCTGGTGAGGCAGGCAAAGAAGAAAGGGCTGGAATGTCAACACTGGGGAGAGTTGCCCCCTGCGAGAATAGACTAAGTGCCCAGCCCTCCTGCCCTTCTTGCCAAACTCCACCCCATCCCCATATGCAGCTCTCTGTGGAGGTATAGCTGAGCTCTGGAGCCATAATCCATTTCCTAGTACCCTCCACATCCTACATTTCACCAAGTCACCCTGATGTGCCCACCATGTAGAATAGTCCCTGACTTTAATTTTTGCATCACTCTGGCTAAAACCTCATCACCTCCAGTCTAGATCCCTGGGGATCTAGAGACATATATGCTTCATATGCCAGAGAAATCTTGTTCCAAAAACAGTTTTCACTGTTTCCTTCATTGAGCGTTTGGGGTCAGACAGAGCAAGCTGGCTTGCACTCTCAGCCTCATCACTACGTGAGACTGTTGGCAAGTGGAGGGGTACTATTCTCTTTTCATTTCACATAAAAGGACACAGAGTCTCAGCACTGCTTGCTTACTGAGTTGAAATAAGGATTAAGTGAAATAACACACTTAAGACATCCATGGTAGTGCCACCAAGAACTCACCTAATATTATGAATTTCTGAGTCAGTCACTCTTCCAGTACTTCATATGTCAATTAATCCTCATAACAATCCTTTGATATAGGTGTCATAATTACCCCCATTTTATAGATCAGGAACCTGAAGCCCAAATGATTAAATAACTCCTGGTCACATGATTAAAAGTTTGGGAGTAGGATAATAGGTTCACAAATTCCCTCTACCCACTCCTGGCTGAGAAATGTCTACAACTGAGAAATCCTCCCCAATATCCATTCTATCAGATCTATACTATCCAGTTGAGGAATGAACCTCTGGTCTGCCTTGGGCCTCTGAGAAATTTATATACATTTTATTATTACTGGAACCCAGAGAAAAGCCAAAGAACAAAGTTCTCTTTGATGAAAATGTTGCAAAAATATTAGTTGCCTTGTTTGTCTTAACTGTTGAGGGGCCTAACCAATTTTTCATTACCTTTTTTAAACTGTAAATCATTAAAAAAAAAGGCAACCTACTGAATAGGAGAAGATATTTGCAAATGATATATTCAATAAAGGCTTAATATCTAAAATATATAAAGAACTTACACAACACCAGAAAAACCCCCAAATAATCCAATTAAAAACTGGGCAGAGGACCTAACTAGACATTCTGCCAAAAAGATATACAGATGGCAACAGACACATGAAGAGATGTTCAATATTGCTCATCATCAGGGAAATAAAAATTAAAACCACATGAGATTACACCTTGCACCTGTCAGAATGGCTAAAATTAAAAAGAAATGACAAGTGTTGGTAAGGATGTGGAAAAAGGGGAATCCTCATGCATTGCTGGTGAGAATGCAAACTGGTGCAACCACTGTGGAAAACAGTACAGAGATTTCTCAAAAACTTAAAAATAGAAATACTAAACCATAGCATAACATATAGTTGTCAAATCACTATGTTGTATACCTGAAACTAATGTAACATTGTGTGTCAACTATTCTTCAGTAAAGATATTTAAACATTTTTTAAAAGAAAGCGAAAAAAAAGAAACCCTTAAAGTTATAAGTACAGGAGATAAAAAAATTTTAGCACAAAAATGTATATACATTCTTTCTGATCATGAACAGTGAACATTTCCACACAGCCTGTGGCCTTTGGTCTTGCCTCATGAGCGTGGAGAAGCACCCCCAGGGCTCAGCTGTGCAGTACAGTTGTCACCAATGTCAACCACATGGCTTCAAAAACTCTGCTAACAGATGGCTCTAAAGTTTTACCAACTTAAATTGAAGAGGTTATCAGAGGCCCAGGAGACTATGAATGGGTTATATTCATGCTTTGTCTTTCCACCTCGATTATAAAACAAGGTAGAACGAATCTTAGATTTGTTCACAAACAGGTACAAAGTGAGTGGTTTTTGAAGATTGCACAGTGAGTTAGATCCAAACCTGGTTTAGAGGTTAGAACCTCCCCTTCAGTCCCTCCCCAGGATCTCTAGGTGTTTCCTTGAACAGAATTCTTAATTTGCCAGATCCAAAGTCTTACAGGGCAATGCCTTATTTTACCTTTTATTATTATCCATCATGACTCCTAGAAAAAAAGCTTTATACAAGGCAGCCCTCAGACTGACTGGCTAGCTGGTCTACCTTTAGAAGAGGCAGCTAACACATAGCTGGCCACCTACTTCACAACCTTATATCTCTTCCCACTTGAGTCTCCATCTGAGCTCATTTAAGCTTGCATAGAATGGTACAGTTATGAATCCCCCAAGGGTTAGACCAAGACGTTCATACAACAAGCTCAGAGGGTGTCCATTAGTCCCAGGTCCAAAGTGATGTCTGCAAGGCTGCTGCTTGAGTGTGCATATGGGTCATGCTAATTGAACTCAGTTACCATGTATGCTTTACATGTCAAGGACAAAGCCACAGGTCCTAATAGGACTTAATACAGAACCAGAGGCAGGGCTTGACTGGCCGTAAGGCTGGAACTAGCCTTAAATTACTAGCAGTCTAATGCAACCCAGGGAATCTCTACTCCATACATAATGGGAGTCCAACAGAGGAATCAACTCCTACACGTGGACTCGGGAGTATATTACTGGATAATATTCATGAGGGCCCCTCACTGCTGAGCATCTAGAAAAGTACCCAGTGTGTCTACCTTCTTCTGGGAGGATGCCAAAACGGCTACATTTTGACATCAAACTTTTCATGGCAAAGGTTTTGTCATGTCCCCTGCCATGGCCTCAACATTTCAGTCCTTTGAACACACTGCCCTGATCTTTAGACCTTGGCCCAGGATCCTTGCCTGTATCTTCCACCCTTTTCCTCAAATAGATGCCAGCCTTAAAATTCTAGCCCAGCCATTGTGTTGTCAGAAATTGACCCTGCTTGGCCCATGCTCTGGTATTGACATCACTCCATTAACCCTCAGCACATACAAATTCTATCTGTAGGTGGCTTTGCCAACGTGAGCCTTGGCACATGCCAAGCCATCTCCTCCCAGTGTAGATGTTCTTCCCAGAGGGCAGTGAGCTGTCTGGCATCAGCAACCCCACCTTCTGCATCTACTGTGCCTTCACTTACCCCTACCAAAGAAGGAACCTGGAAGAGGATATCTACAAACAACGGGCAGGCAATCCAGGGGCTGACTGGCACTGTCTATAAGAGAATGGACCCACTTGATCTTTTCTTTGCTACTTACCTCATTCAGCTTGACCCAGTTGAAGGACTTCAGTGGATGGGAAGGCTGGGGGACACACTTCTTCCTGAGTGGGATATCACTGCTGGGGCAGGGGTCTGGAGGGAGAGGCAGGCCCATGCTGAAGCAAGGTGGGGCACCAGGGGGAGTAGGAGGCCCACCAGGTGGAAGAGGTGGTGGTGGCGGTGGGGGGCAGCAGGGGAATGGGAGAGGGGGTGGAGGTGGAGGCAGGTCATTGGTTGTCATTGAGGAAGACAAGGTCAGTGGGCCCCCAGGGGGAGGTGGGGAAGATACAGGTCCTGCCTGTGGGAAGACAGAAAAATTAAAAAAGATGAAGCCATCAGCAATGAATGATGCCTTTCAGATCCCCACCACACTATTCCTTTTCTTATTCTTATTCTTCATCTCCACTAGAACCCCAATCCTGCTCTCACTTCCTACATTTTACCCCCCCTCATTTCTTCTATGTATCCCAAATATCAAACATACACATAGACACAACCACAGATACATACACATAGGTAAAACACACATAACACTGGACAAAGTCATAGTTATCACAATGCAACAGCAGGAATGATACATATAGTCGTGTAGGCCACTACCTGCACAAGGGTAACCAGCTGTACAGGGAGGTGGGGCAAAATCATCCTTGCACTCTGCTTTCCTAGGTGTGTTTCCTGGGACAGTGTCACCCAAGGGAAAGAGCATTGTTTTTTTTTGTTGTTTTTGTTTTTTTGTTTTTTCTAATTAACACAAAGGTAGCCACCCTTACAACCTCATAGTTCCCTTCTATCCTGGCCTGAGGTCCTCCTCTCACTTCTCCTTCATTCTGGGGTACTTAGCCCTTCCCCACACCTGCTCTTCCCACCCTATCCTGAAGGTCTCAGCTCAATATGTAAAAGGAATGTGTCCACATACTGAAATTTCACTGAGTTGGGCTACCAGCTCTGCCACTTGTCCTCGAGCCTGGCGCAGCTCCTGGGACTCTCGGGCCAGTTTGTCCTTCATTTTGTTCAGTGTCCGCATCATCTCTTCCTTCTCCAATGTCTTTGTCTCACATTCTCGCTCCTTTCTCTCCAGCTTGCTCACCAGCTCCATGTGTTCTGGGATGGGGGTGGGACAGGAGAGGAAATGGAAAGAGAGAATATGAATATGTGTGTGTCCACCTCTAATGGGTCCTGGGCTGGGCAGGGGAGGGGTTGTGTGGAGCATGAAGTAACTTTAGACAGAGCCCCCTACCTTTCCGGAACTTCTCTGCCTGGTCTCGCCACTGTTTCACTTCATTCTCATTGATGAGCCTGGCGGGGAGTACAGGGAAAGGTCTGTTGATTATTGGCTCACAACTTCCCAGAAGACATATCATTCCCCTATTCCCCACATCAGTTCCCTGATCTCCAATCCGTTCAGTCATATCAAGGAGGCTAGGATTTGGACTCTCCAGATGTCTCTCCAGGTCACCAGCCCTAGCCAGTTCTCATGTGTCTCTCTGTGGACTACAAAAACTAAAAGGACCTTTAAATAACTTATGATTAAACCACTCTGCGATATAGTTGAAGCTCTTGAGACCAGATTTGAAGAAAACAGCTTAATTAATGGTAGAACTAGGACTAAATCTCAGGCTTCCCTTAGCTGTCTGATGATTTGTATACTACTTTGCAAATTTTTTTTTTTGCACTGATAGAGATCAAAATGTTGGTGCCACCATGGCCCAGGCTTCCAAAGACCAATGTGTAAGAATAAGAGAAATCACCCATACCAGCAATACTGAATGAGTATGTTGAGGGTGAAGAGGAGATGTATCTAAATCACAGGAAGTCCTCACTCATGTCAAAATCTTGTAATGAGGGGGGCACTTGATCGGATGAGCACTGGGTGTTATTCTGTTTGTTGGCAAATTGAACACCAATAAAAAATAAATTTATTATTAAAAAAATCTTGTAATGGGGATTAAGCTATTACCTAGACACCAAAGTGTAATAGAGATGAAATCCCAGTGTGAGATCCTAATACCATGGACTTTCTTCAGAGAGTTGGAACAAATTATTTTAAGATTTGTGTAGAATCAGAAAAGACCCCGAATAGCCAGGGGAATTAAAAAAAAAGAAAAAGAAAACCATAGCTAATAATCATTTTCTTTTTGGTAACTCTGAAAACATGGAAGAGTTAGATTCATGATTCTTGGCCTCCTCTATCAAATCAAGGATATAAAGAGGGGACAGGGTATGAGAGGGGACGTAATTTGTGAAGAGAGTTCTTTGGAGAGAGTCATTACCATCCTTCTTGGGGGTGCTACCTCCTTCACCATCATCCACTGGCTTCTTTGGACACACTCAGAGAGTTCTGACCCACATTCCCTGATGTTGGAAGGGAGGCATGGTGGACTGGAGCCTGACTTGGGGCCAGGCAGGTCCGAAGACTGAAGACACATTAACCAGGGGAGTGGTGCTGTGCCGGGACCATCCAGCACTCCTGGAATTTGTTGGTAGAGATTGTACCAGGATTTCTCATGAACCAGATGTTAAGCATCATGGAGATACTGGGATGATGCCATTTTAAGTCCTGTCTAAGATGTCCACCTAGCAGAAAATTGCACACTTTAACATTGTGCCATTGTGCACTGAATTGCCAGAATCAGGAGCCGATGGAAGGAATGATAACAACCAGCCCCAGGGGATAAAAAGGCCTTGCATGGCCAGTGACCAGGGTTTTATAGTGAGAGGCATGTAACAAGGAACTTCAGAAGATCTCGGAAATAATTCATGTCTCTATCTATGTGCCAAGGCCAAAGGATAGGAAGCCTGTCTATTAAGTTACCTGATTAAGCAAGACCTTTCCCTCTGCTGCTCCTTCCTGCCCCCATACTGCCTCTGGTAAGGGTTAGAAACTGGTTAGTTAATAGAAGAGGTGGTGTGTGTGTGTGTGTGTGTGTGTGTGTGTGTGTGTGTAGAATGGGTTAAAAGAAAAACAGAACAGAGAAAGAAAGCTGGTCATCACACACACCCTTCCCACTGTAGCTTCCAGCCCCAGCCCAGCAAAGAGATTTAATGCTAAATCAAATCTAGAATTCACATGGTTCACATCTGGTTCTAGTTCTTCTAGTTGCAGATTTGAGACTACATTTATGGCTTTAAATGATCTTAGAACTTCCATTGCCCAAGAAGAGGCATAAACTTCATTGGACCTTATGCATTTTCATCCTCTGGCAGAGGAAAAGCTTCCCCACTAAATAGTGTAAGGAATTAGTAGAAAACAAAAATAAAAATAAGAATAAAGCTGCATTTTGATTACTTTGCTAGTTGCACTTGTCCAGTGTACCAGTGGGATTAACTACATGAATACCCAGCTACTTGTAAAAGTGAAAACAGTAGCATGAGTAGTTCAAAAATTGTTTTCTACCTGGCTTTGGAATTTGACACGATGAATCCTTGAGAGCCAATTTTTCTATTTAAACGGCAACTAGTTCAGATTCTCATTTATAGCAGCATTATTTGCAAACGCCAAGATATGGAAGCAGCCTAAGTGTCCATCAATTGGTGAATGGATAAAGAATATGTGGTGTATATATACAATGGAATATTATTCAGCCATAAAGGAATGGAATCTTGCCATTTGCAATGACATGGATGGAGCTAGAGAGTATAATGCTAAGCAAAATAAGTCAGAGAGAGACAAATACCATTATGATTTCACTCACAGATGGAATTTAAGAAACAAACCAAATGAGCAAAGGGGGAAAAAAAAAGAGAAAGAAAGAGACAAATCAAGAAACAAACTCTTAACTATAGAGAACAAACTGATGGTTACCAGAGGGGAGCGGGCAGGGGGATGGGTGAAATAAACAATGAGAGTTAAGGAGCGCACTTATCATGATAAGCACTGGGCAATGTAACAAATTGTTGAATCATTATATCGCACACCTGAAACTAAAGTAACACTGTATGTTAACTAACTGGAAATCAAATACAAACTTAAAAAAGAAAATTAAGTGAAAGTTTAAAATTAAAAATTAATGTTAACATAACATCTGATTATTGCTAATTTAAACTTGGTTCTCTGTGTTTCTCTATACACAGGGTCAAAGAAAAGCCAGAAGACCTTAGGCTCTGACATCCTTATCCAATAGCTTTAGTCAAATTGCCATGCTCGATTTCAGCGATAGCAAATTTTCTCTAAAGAGTTAGAATAAATATTTTAAGTTTTATATACCAGGTATAGTTTCTGTTACATATTCTCATTTGTTTTTATTTATTTTATTTCTTTAAAGATTTTATTTATTTATTCATGAGAGACACAGAGAGAGGCAGAGACACAGGCAGGGGGAGAAGCACGCTCTCCTGGGGAGCCTGATGTGGGACTTGATCCCAGGACCCCGGGATCACGACCTGAGCCAAAGGCAGACACTCAGTCACTGAGCCACCCAGGTGCCCCTCTCATTTGTTTTTAAAAACTCTTTTAAAATGTAAAAATTATTTTTAGCTAATGGATCATACAAAAGCAAGTTGGAAGACTGGTTAGTCCACAGACCATAGTCAATATGTTTAAATTCTTCTTCTATCCACTCCATGCAGTAGATCATTAAAGCTGAGTACACTCCCAATAAACCTGTGCTGTTCAATATGGTAGTCACTAGCCATGTTATGTGGCTATCTGAATTTAATTAAAGTGAAATGAAGTTTTTAACTCAGTTCTTCAGTCACATTATCCACATGCCAAGTGCTCAGCAGCCACGTTTGAACAGTGCCTATATGGAACATCTCCATATTGGACATGTTTCTTATGGTGCATTTGGAGGCATGTGGTTTATGAGAGGGAGCAGAGGTTTCACTGTGAGAGCCCACGAAGGAGAGAGATGGGGAAGAAGGAGGAAGACAGGTGGGAGCTGGCCACTGCTCACATGTTGACAATGTTCTTGACGTTGAAGTTCTCCAAGGGAGCCAGGTCAGGGTCCACACCCCTCTCGTCCTGGAGGACAATCTGCTGAAGGATGCGGTCCAGGAGCTGCCACTGCTGGAAGTAGCCACCGTTCCGCTTGTCTGGGGGTGGGGGGAGGACAACAGGCATCATAACTTTAATGAGCCCTGGAGCCCCCTGGGACCCTGCCCTAGAATCACTGCCTGGGCCCAGTCTGGTGAAGCATGCCTTCTCCCTCTTTTGGCAAGATCCCAGTCTGATAGGGGAGGCAATGATGCTGCTGATGCTGATGATGGAGATTCGCAAATGTGGTCATTTGTTGATGATCTGCAACTCACTTTCTATGAATGTGTCAATTCTCTACACATTTCTCTACTCCCTAAAGTGCTTACTGGTTACTTTTCTTCCCTGTAGGTACCCTAAGTGGCCTATGCCTTGGGAATGCAAATTGCCTTTTCCATTATCTAAAAACAGTACCTTTCAGAAAGTAAATCTGCTCCAAAATATTACCTGCTAAATAATGAAGACTCCAGGGAAATTTTAAAAAAGGAAAAGGTTTTAGGATTATCTATGCTGTTGTTCTACAGTGAAAGATGAATGGAAACTAATTGCAGGTATGCACTGAGAGAGAGTCAGAATGGGTTGGAGAAGTGCTAATGGAATCCAGGCAGATTTCTCAGTGAAGGTGACCCTGAACTGTGAAGGCAAAGGCTTGTGCGTGATCTTACAGGGCCCTGCTCCCATGCTCCCATTCTCTGTAATCATGGTTTGGTGGGACATGGACCTTCCTTTCATGTGCTAGCCATAAGTCCCCATCCCTCAGTTCTTGATCCCAAGTACTTTCTCTCAACTGACCACCAAAGGAGGTCAACCAGCATGATGATGACCTCAAAGTCAAACCATAATGCTTACAATGGGAAGGTCATGTCTGCAAAACCCCATGTTGAGGCAGAAGAGATCCATGGTCAATGCTCATGGAACACAACACATAAGACCCTGTGAGAGGAGATGCTGGGTTTCTCAGGGACTTCCTACATCTTCTGTGCAGATCTCTGGACTGAGCTTTAGAGAATGGATACCTTCCTGGTCTAGGTCACTGTATCCGTTTTCCTTTCCATCACTTCACTGACACAGGCTTTGCCATGTGGCATAGTTTTCCATTTACCTCTCACCTGGGAAAACAGGGTAAAGCCAGGTCACTGGCTCACAGAAGTACAACATATTTCATCTAAGGCCATGACCACAAAGAAACAAAAATTCCTTCATACATACAGATTCTCCCAGCCTCAAGTTCATTCACTATAAAGTGGTTATAATAATGCCCGCTCCTAAAGTCATTTTGAGGTTTAGAGACGCTATGCCAAAGGGCCTTGCATCACACATGACCCAGAGTTGGCATACAGTAAGTTGTAGTTATTGCCATCATCAACATGAATACCAGTGCCACCATCACCACTAGAGTCTGCCTAGATTGACCATGATGGTTGGCCATAGTAGTCTTCCAAATTTTCAATTTTCTGAAGAGCTTAAATACCAAATGGTACAGTTACAGCTCATTTCACATTGCATGCTAGGGTGGCTATTAGTAATCATGTGCAATTTATTCAGTCACTGTGCACACCTGGATCTTAAGAGCTTAGCATCTGCTAAGCTTAGATGCTGACCTTTGATATTTGCAAAGAGACACAAGGGTAAGTATGTTAAAGTGGAGCTCACAAGGTAGAGATGGAGGAGTTGATATACCTTGAAAAAAGTCTACTACTCCCCAAAACTTCTTTTCGGAGCTCCCCAAGAGGATGGATCAGTCCCCTGTCATAAGCTGATAGGGAGCTGTTTGATTTTGCAGTGATCAAGCTACTGCTTGGTAGACCAGAACCTTAGCACTCTTCAGGGCCTAGTCATCAGCTTCTCTCCTGGGTGACAATGGATGTCCTGACCCCAAAGAAGGAGGGAAGAACAAGGGCCTGGATCCTGTGGTCAGGCCTCCTGGGGGCATTACAAAGAGAGACCCAGTCAGATTCATCAACCCAGGGGTTCCTGACAGCTTGTTTCAACCTTCCACTAGCCAGGGCCCAGGCTGGCTGAAGAGATGACAAGCGCAGGCTACTCACAGGGCATCTGTAGGCAGTGGTGCAGGACAGACAGCAAGCAGGGGTAGGCTTCAGTGTGCTTTAGCTTCTTGTGGATCAGCTCAAACATCTGGGAAGCACTCTTGGTGTCGATGTGGACCTGAGAGAATGGAGGGCACAGTGAATGGGAAGGAAGAAGAGAGGAGAAAACCCTACTTCCATCCACTGAGCCCCATTCCCCAGGATGATGTTCCCGGGCTTAAAAAGGAAGGCACAGAGAAAAGGAGGAGGGAGATGTCCTAATTATATAAAGCAGGATTTCTCAATCTCAGCACTATTGGCGTCTTGGACCAGAATCATTCTTTGTTGTGGGGAGCTGTCCTGTTCACTGTAGGCTATTCCACAGCATCCTTGGTCAATATCTATCAGATTCCAGTGGCATCTTCCTTGCACCGGTTGTAACAACAAAAAATGTCCACAGGGGAAGGAGGAGGCAAAGTCACTCCTGGTTGAGAACTACTGATTCAAACTAAGGGAAGGGGTCAGGGGCTTAGACAACTCAAAGACCATGTAATATAGTTCCACACAACCTGGGTTCAAATTCCAGATCTACTCTCTCATTGTGTGACCACAGGCAAGCTAATCTCAGTCTCTCCACCTGTAAAACCCAGGCTTTTGTGACAGTATAATGGGTTGGTGCTTGGTGACTGCAGCACCACTAGAAGGAGGTTTCCATTTGGATAGAGATTTTATAATATGATATTAAAGCAGTAGAATTGTGTATTTTCAGGGTTATTGAGGCTAAAATGAAAAGACAATCTGGTTTGTGAAGCATGATCTGGTAAGTGATAGGGAGACAGGACTCAGGAAATTGCTGGAAAGCAGAGGGAATGTCGTCTAGGAGAGGCATTTGAGAATAATCATGTTTAAGAACTGGCTCTCTTTCCTTTGGACATTGTGATCTCCCAGCAGAGGAGATGCCCTACCAGGTTAGGCCTGCCAGGTGAGGCCCCCAGAGCCAACACACTTCCAGGCTCCAGAAGTAGGACCTGGTTATAGGGCCGTTCACCAGGGAAGCCAACCAACACTGGACTGACCACAACAAGGGATCTGGAGGAGAGGCTGTGGGGCCACCAGGACCCCATGCAGTTACCCCATCCCTGCAGGCTTCTCACCATGTCAAACCTCCTGGCTAGCTCCAGGTCATCCTCATTCCGGACCATCTCAAAGAAGTCTAAATGCCTAGATAGGATGGGGGGATAGAGTAGAGTAGATATTACCTCTAGGCAATCCATACATCTGCAGTGGGGATGGTTGGTTTGGGCCTTACTTATCCAGGATGGCATTCTCATGCTGCCGGAGTTTGTCAATCACAGGCTGAATCCCCAGCATCAGGAACTCGTACCGTAGATGAAGGCGGAACTCCAGATTATCCTGGGGATCACCAGGGAGGACAAGAATTATTGGCTTGTGGCTCTTCCACCAGAGTCCCCAGTGGACCCACCCCAATCCTTGTCCTACCATATCACCTGCAGCAACCCATCTGGAACTGCTTCAAGTCCAGCGCTCCAAGAAAGGGCAGGAGGAGATACCCTTGACCTTGTTATTTGCTCCTATTAGGTCTCCTGCCTCACTTCCTTCAAATTCCTTACCAGTTTTCTCAGCCTTTGGCATCAAAGAGTGGTACGATAGAATAATGTAGAACATAAGCTTTGATTTCAGACAGGTCTTGGTTCAAAACCCTGCTCTGACGCTCACTAGTTTTGTGACTTTGTAAAGCCTTAGTTTCCTCATATGTAAAATGGGAATGATATTACTTACCTATAGGGGTGATACTCATTAAGAATTCTCTGATGCAGTATGGTTACCAACTAATCAGAACAGATTAGTATAGCTAGCATCAACAAAGATGATGCCAGCACCTTAGGGACAGATTTTTCCCTCACCTCACCAAATCAAAGTCACTAAACCCACCTCACCAAACTCAGCTTATCAGGACTAGATGCAAGAAAAGTATGCTGACAGAAAATAGGGAAAGGTAGAGATTATTAAATTGCCCCTTTTGACCTTTAACAAGCCAATCTTGGTTGGGGTAAGTGGTTCCCTTAGAATTTGGGGAGTTAACCTGCTCTTCAAGTTCTTCTTCAACTGTTCCTAGTTTTATGGTCTGAGAACCCCATTCTGACCCCACAGTAAGGAAAATCAGAAGCCATGCCTCCTAACAGAAGGTGCTAGAGGGCATGACCAGCCAACTCAGAAACCAGTCCAGGAGCAGGTCTTTAGAAAGAAGGGTCCACACTTGTCCTCCTCCCATAAATGATCCCCCACCACCCTAAGCCAGCATCAGCTAGCCAAGCTTGGGTTTGTCCAGGAGACACATAATGCACAACGCAACCCATGCAAGAAACTTCCCAAGAGCCCCTCATGACAGCAAGGTTCATGACAAGCTATTCCTTCTCTGACCCAAGTGAAGGAGGCAAGAGTTGATAAAGATAATCCGAAGACAGTGATGGTAGTGACAGTCACACCAACAAGAAGTCTCGGCCCCTTCCCTCTTGCACACACAACCCTGGATCCAGAAAGTCCAGGAACAGTAAGGGCAAGGAGAAGATGATTCACCTCTCCAGCTCCAGCATTAAGGACAGCATTGATGAAGGACATGATGGCTGTTTTCAGATTCACTTCATCCCGATACCGGCCCAAACTTCGGTCTAGCTCATTCAGCAGTGTCTGGAATGAAAGGCAGGACAGGAGAGGAAAGGTGGGCTCAGGCTCCCACATACCCAGCCTCTCTGCCAGTGCCCCCACCATTCCAGCTGCCTAGCCTGCCCCATATGCTTGCTTTACCCAATCTATCCAGCTTACCTTGGGCCCTCCAGAAAGCTCAGCTTTTCCACGAAGCATCCTTTGCCTCTCTATGGCTCAGTCTCAGTCCTGCCTTACTTCCTCTCCACTCATTTCCAGGGCTTAGTTTATTTTGTAGGGCAGTGCCAAAATGCTACTTCAGCACTTCACAGCTGTTTACAGCTCTGTTTATGGCTCATAAATCTTCCTGCCCAGCTCCTTGATGGCACAGACACTGCCTTTTACCTCTTTTGAATCTCCTACAAAGGGTCAGGGGCCACTTTCTGCACAGGGTAAGTGTCTAAAAATGATACTTGGTCTATGGTAGACAAACCATAGTATTTGTAGTGACAGTTTACATCTATTGATACTTACTCTACATAAGACACATGATACTAAACTATCTCATTCCTTTTCTGGGGCACTTCAAGGAGAGGAAAAAAGAATAGCACGGCCTAAGCATCCAGCACTGTTCCCCAGGTCCCCATGGTAAGCGCCAGCTGTAGGGCTTAAAATCTTGGCCCTAGCAATTGCATTCAATTCCATTTTTTAAATTTTTTTTAAATTTATTTATTCATGAGAGACACAGAGAGAGAGAGGCAGAGACACAGGCAGAGGGAGAAGCAGGCTCCATGCAGGCAGCCTGACGTGGGACTTGACCCCGGGTCTCCAGGATCACTCCCTGGTTCGAAGACAGCGCTAAACCGCTGAGCCACCCGGGCTGCCCTCAATTCCATATTTGACTGAGGCGCTGTAATTAGCCAGGCACCCGGCTCAGAGATGTAGAGCCATAGACCAATAATCCAGTCTCAAGAAACCCACGGTCTAGCGAGGAGTCCGTTTTCCCAGCCAAACTCACATCTCTTAAGGTCCCTTACGTCCTTGTATATAAACCCTCTGCTAGGCCCCTCACCTGAAAGCGCGTCCGCTCAGCTGCATACACCTGGTAGTGTAGCATGGCCTGCAGCACCTTCTTGTGGCCACCAGGCACCAGGCACACGGCGCCCAGGATCTCCAGCACGGCCACCTTGGTCTTGCTGTTCTCTGTACGCAGGCTCTGTGCAATGGTGCTGATGGCCTCAGGCTGCGCCAAAACATGCGCCCGCCCCTGGGAGTTGTTCATCAGAGCCTTGATGCAACCGATGAGGGAGGTGTGGATGCGACTTTCACAGGTGGCATGGTCCATGCTCCGGAGGAAATTCAGCAGACAGGTCAAACCCTCCAGCTCAATGAAGCGTGTCACAAACCTGTCCAGGCCAGAGCCATGAGCACAACAGGTGTCCTGAATTCGCATGTTATTCTTTTTTTTTAAAAAAAGATTTTATTTATTTATTCATGAGAAAGACGAGAGAGAGAGAGAGAGAGAGAGAGAGAGAGACATAGGCAGAGGGAGAAGCAGACTCCATGCAGGGATCTTGACGCAGGACTCGATCCCGGGATTCCAGGATCACAGCCTGAGACAAAGGCAGATGCTCAACCACTGAGCCACCCAGCCATCCCTGAGCCACCCAGGCATCCCTGCACGTTATTCTATATACACTTTGCAAATAGTTACCCCCTAACCTGTGTCCCACCTACAGTAGCCACGTGGCTTATTTAGAGAGTTTACTGAAAGCACTGAAATCCTATCACCCTCACAGGAGACTGATGTCTTATTTGCACCTTAAATACCATGTATTTGCAGGTCATTGACTGTCACTGCATAGCTGTGATGGTGTATATGTGAAGGGAATGCTTGTAGCAATTATTACTATAATTATCATTGCTATTAAACCTGGAAATTCATCTCCAGAGAGGATGGAAATTAAGAGAATTACAGTCAGAAGACAAAGAGGACTTCTAGACAGGGCAGCCATCAGAGTCACTGGGTCATAGGACCAAGGCTTGGGAAGGCCCTTTTCAAGGGATCCTTATGAAAATAGCTGTTATCTGGAATGATAGAAGCAAGCATTAACAACCATTTCATTCAGGAGTTCCTTTTTTTAAAAAAAATTTACTTATTTATTCATGAGAGACAGAGACAGAGAGAGAGAGAGAGAGAGAGAGAGAGAGAGAGAAAGGCAGAGACATAGGCAGAGGGAGAAACAGGTTCCTTGCCAGGAGCCTGATACAGGATTTGATCCCGGACCCAGGAATCATGCCCTGGGCCGAAGGCAGATGCTCAACCACTGAGCCCCCCAGGCATCCCTTGTTCAGGGGTTCTTAATCTGGACTCTGTGTTCCTCTAAGGGGTCTATGGCTAACTTGCAGGGGTCTGTGAACTTGGATGGGAAAAAGAAGTTACACTTTTATTTTTGGTAACCTCTACCTGAAATGTATCATTTCTTTCTATGCTGAATGTGGGCAATAAACTACAGTGGTATTCGCAGAATCTGTGATTTTGTTACCCAAAGAAATCAGCTATTTTTATATCAAATTATAGTTGTTGCAGGTGTCTCAAACTATCATTTCCACTCATCAGCACTTCAGAATCATGGTGGTTGCCAGTTCTTACTGTTTAAAGCGTAAAGAAGCACATTAATTGCTACCTCACGAATTTTGCAGATTTGGTAACTGTATTTCAATTTAATTGGTTTATTATTCATCTTATCTATTTTATTATTTAAAAATATCACTCTGATAAGCAGTCAATAGGTTTCATCTGGTGCCAAAGTCATCCATAGCACATGTGCCCTCATATACGCAAACACACGAAAAGGCTTAGAACACTTGATTTCATAGAATAATAATGACCTAAGGACATGTCATAAATGGAGCTAAGGGAACCGTTGCATATAATTAATACATTTGGTCCCAACTTTATTTGTGTATTTCCATATTATTATACAAATATGTCTATAAAATAGAACATACTCTCAAATTAAGTCATTAAAATGTGTATTATTTATTTCTATTATACACTTTCCTGTATTGTGCAGAATTTCCACCATGTATAACTCTTGTAAACAGAATTTTACTAAGGGAAAGAAAAGTAAAGTGAAGTGGGAGACAAACCTGGCAACCTTCCATCAACTCCTTTCCTCTATGTCCTCATCATTTCTGCATCCCCTTCCCATACAAGCCCCCCGCCCCCAGCAACCACAAATGGGATTAAGATGCTCCCATTCTCCCAAGGCTCTAAGTTCTGGCTCCCAAAGTAGAAAGATTGGCCTCTACTTCACACACACACACACACACACACACACACACACACACACACACACACACATAAATGCACACAGGCAGGCCAGTATGCTGGTAGACATTTAACAACTGGCTTTCTAAAGAAAGAAAAAAAGGCCTGATTGTAGTGTTTCCTAATTTCTAGAGTATAAATATTCCCAGCATAGCTAATTTCAAGCTATCAATGTGACATCATTGAACATGGAGCTGGAAAGCGATGCAACATTTATAGTACATTTGACCCTTGAATAGCACGGATTTGAACTGTATAGATCCACTTACATGGGAGGTTTTTTCAATAAATACAGTACAATACTAGGGATGTATTTTCCTTATGATTTTCTTAACAATTTTTTTTCTGTAATTGTAAGAATACAGTATATAATATATATAACATATAAAATACATGTTAATCAACTCTATGTTATTGGTAAGGCTGCTGGTCAAAAGTAGGCTGTTAGTAGTTAAGTTTTGGGGTGTCAAAAGTTATATGCAGATTTTCGACTGCATGGGCATTGGCACTCCTAACAGCCACCTTGTTCAGGGTCAGCTGCATTTCCACCGCGCATATACAACGAGTATACACTCAAGACCACATAGAACAGTAAAGAACATACATAAAACCAAAATGCAGTAAGATCATTAGGTAATTAGGGAGTGAAAAGTTTTAAGTATTTATTACTTTTGGTTTTGGTATAATTTACTTAGTTTTAAGTTTATATAACATCATAGTCTAATCATAGCTATGTTTAATAAGCAGCTTGCAAAACTGCTGGAAATTTAATAGTCAGTCCCCACAAGCAGCCACAAGCCAGCTCCCAGGCACCAGGAGAACCTGTGGTTCTTGTCCCACTTGGGAACTTTGCACAATGTGGCCTAGGAAGGGGTAAGGGTCTTTCTTTTCAAAATCATCTGCTTTTCCTGGCCTGCATCACTCCTGTAGGTGGTAGACTCTTGTCCATAGACACCACATCTCTCCCTAGTGGCTGAGTATCTGTTGCCCACACTGCCCTCCTTCCTGGCCGGGGTTCTCATCCTCAGAGATCTTTCTTATACACCTTGTCCATACACACCTTGTCCATAAGGCCACCCTCTCTCTCATTCTGTTCTCCCAAGAAAAACAAGTACCTGCCTTCAATTTCTGCTCAGATGGCTCTTCAGGACCTGAGGCTTATGCCACATTCCTTTTTTTTTTTTTTAAGATTTTATTTATTTATTCATGAGACACACACACACACACATACACACACACAGAGAGGCAGAGACACAGGCAGAGGGAGAAGCAGGCTCCATGCAGGGAGCCCGATGTGGGACTCGATCCCAGGACTCCAGATCATGTCCTGGGCCAAAGGCAGGCACTAAACCGCTGAGCCACCCAGGGATCCCCTTATCCCACATTCCTACCTTCTTTCCCCTGGTCCCCCACATGCCCATGCTCTGAAAGCCTCCCAGCTCCTCAGAGAGAGAGGTTGGAGGAGGCCGGAAGCAGGCCTAAGTGCAGGGAAATATAGGGGATACCAAGGAGTAGAGCCAGCAAGGGGACAGGGACTGGGATGGGTGCAGAGCATTGGATGGAGCTTCAGAAAGTTGAGGGGGACCACCAGGTGAAGGGGCGTGGAAGGAAGTGGGAAGGGGAAACACACTGAGTCACCTCATGGGCTGTGTCCGGAGAGCTGTCTTCAGGTCTTCCACAACTTGGTTCCTCATCTCCGTCTCTTCCTCGTCAAAGGCATACAGACTCTGCATCTGAGGTAGGTGGCAAGGGGCGGAGGTTCTGCTGTGCTGCCTGAGCCCAAGCTCCCTGCACCCTCCCCCCAGGCCAGGTATGACCCAGGAGCCACTCCGGCCTCAGGGAGAGTGAGGCCTCAAGGAATAGTTTACTAGGAGCATCAGACTCTAAGAAGACCCAGGTCCCAGTCCCAGACTTCACCTTCCTTGTCTGTGAAATAGGAGAATTAATGGTTCAGCCCATTTCCCAAGACTGTATGATATACAAATGGTTCATAGACGTTTAAATGGCCTAGACTCACACAGAGAATGGAGGGATTAAAGAAAAGAAAATCTCAGGAACAACTCAAAGGCTGCTTGCTGATCCCCAGGTGAGCAGGGTGTGAAGTTCAGGGAAAGACAAGGGAGGATCACTCTCCCTCCTAGCTTTTCCAGGTGGGACCAGGAGAGGGGCAGAGCCATTGCTCACCGCGGCCATTGAGTTGATGCGGTCGATGTAATAGTCAGGCCAGCTGGTGGCCAGCTTGTTGGGGTCCTCCTGCTCCTGGAACAAGAAGAAAGATTGTATGGATCAACTGGAAGATAGGCCTGAGATCCTGAGCCTCATTCCATGCCAGCAGATTTCCTTTCTAGCCCCACCCAGACAGGAATAACTTTGAGGAAGTTACAAAATCTCTCCAGGCTTCCATTTCTTCCTTGGTAAAATGCAGATAATGAACATGGAATCTCGTGACTGGCCAATTGACATGGGCAGAAATCACAGAGATATATGCACTTTCAATAAATAATATATATAATATAAATGTTTTTCCTGTTGTATCTGTTCCCTCTTTGCTTCTAAATAAAATATAATTCTATGTCTGTAGACTTAATAAAACTTAATAAAAATCTGCACTTCTATTTCATATATCTGGCTTTTAAATTTGACTAATACTATCATTCTCATTGTATTTTACAGAAGTATTAGTCTGTGATAGTTTGGAACTTAAGTCTTTCTCTCGGATTGTTTGAGAAATACTAATATAAAGCATTTGGTGCGGTTCCTTGGCATATGGTAGGCACTCAGCAAACAGTAGCTTTACTAAAAGAGGGAGACTCCCAAAGCCCTGGGTTTTGGAGAAACTCAGGAGGTGTTAGTGTAGTTTGGAGGCAGAGCACAGGGCTTTTAGCCCAGCCCTCAGGTTCCAAGGGAAAACCTCAATTCCTCACCAAGGATGGGTAAGAATAATGAGAGCTGAATAAATATTAATGCTGATTGAAGAGCTAGCCCCTCTCTTCCAGCCAAGGAATCTGGCTCTGGGTATTACACACACCTTGTTCCTTCCTGTCCCTGGTGCATTTGGACGTTCCCTCTCACCTGCCTTCTGCTAATCTTCTGCTTTCATATATGCACAAAAACTTACCTCCCCTTCCAGAACCTCACTGACAAACCACCTGCCTGCCAGTTGACCTGGACTTTGCACTGCATCGCTCAGCTACATCTACTCAAGCTTCACCAGTTTGTTTCTCAAAAATCCAAATTTTGTATCAGTGGGATTTGGTCTTTGTGACTTCACATGGCTATGTGTTAGCTCTTCATGACTGAGGCCCCCTAATTCTATCTTCTGACCTTAGGGAGGGCATCACAGAACCAAAAACAAATCCACCACCAAATATATAGATCCTGCCTTTGCCGGTTCATCATTTATCCATTCCATATTGCATTAAAGGAGTACCTACTACATGCCAATAACTGTACTGAGTCCTGAAAGTACTCAATACAAAGTAAGTCTCTGCCTTCCATGGAATAGTTTAGTGCCAGAGGCAGGGTAAAATTCTATGGTAGAACCATTTATAGTGGGCTGTGGAAGCCCAGGGTGGGAGCATCTAAAACAGAAGGCCCATAAGGGGTCTCTGAGAGGACTGAATTATTAAAGATTATTGAAGCTAAGACAGGTGGGAAGGGTGTTTCAGAGAGAGGAAACACCACATGACAAAAGAGGGGTATGTGAAAGTATGGGGGGGAATATCGCATGTAATCTGGTTTGGAAGGTAGAACAAGTTGTCCTTGTACTTCAGCAAATTTTTTATTTTAGTTGTGTAAGAGATCAACTCCATAGTATATCCATTTGGAAAGTGGAGAAGCATGAGACATGATTAACTACTCCTGAAGTTCATTTTTTCCTTTCTCCTATGACTTGAACTTTTTAAAGACCTTCTTTCTCACAATGAGAGTCTTGGACATAGAGCACAGTATTCTTCAGGTGTCTAGTAAATGTGCATCGAGTATACTAGACTAGTGTGCACAGCCCCTGCATCTTGCCACAGGCCCTTAGACTCCAGCAGGCTTGGGTTCTAGCAACGGTGCAGCCACTGGCCAGAACTGGCTGGGAGCTTTGGGCGAGTCCACTGCCTCCTGAGGCCATCCTTGCTTTAGATGCAGAAGAAAGGACTAGACTGAATTGTTTTGCAGCTCCTTCCAATTCTAGAGTGTTGTAGCATTCTAATCCTCCAATTTTATACAGTCAGGGAGCCCCAGATGGGACAAATACCCTCAGGTGAGAAGAAGAAAAAAAAAAAGCCATGAACAACAGGCTCAGGGAACATGAAGGAGCAATGGCTCAGAAGGCTCAGAACTGCCACAGACCTGCCTGTCTTCTCCCAGTGAAGAGCAGATCTGAGCCTCAGGTGTGGGAGTAACTGGGTCCTAACTCCCGAACTCCTATACTCTGAGGTCAAAGGAACAAGCTGCTAGTCTGAAAAAAGGGAGGATGGAGGGGAGACAAGGAAGATGGACCAAGAAGGAGAAAGGCTAAAATAGAAGAGAGGAAGAGAGATACAGAGAAAGATGTGTAAGACGCATACACATAAGAAGAAAGACCAAGGGAGACAAAGCACTGCTGCTGGGAAGCAGAGGGGAGGAGATAATATCCAATGAAGCCCCAACTGGAGCCTGGCACACCTCTTCCTAAGGAGGACCACAGTCAGGAGACTGAAGACATCTCTTACTGAAGGAGAAGAGAGGGAGGAGTAGGTAGAGAGAGTGGGGGCTGATGTGTGACCCCGATGTACCTCCTGCCCTGTGAGGCCGAGTCTGGGACAGAGTGGGGGCCAAAAATTCAGAAGAGACTACCCCCACCCAGACTGAGTCCTTACAACAAAGTTGCCCTTGGGTATGACACAGGGTGGCATACCCTCCAGGCAGGCACAAGAAGGGAGTATGGACTTGTCATCTTTGAATCTCCTTAATGCAGCCTTACTCCTAGAACCCAATGGGCACCTGTGTCAAGGGTTTTTGAAAAACTGAATCCCACATCCCTGAGCGCCAGTGCCATGAGAGCAGGGAATTTTTTGCCCTGATTTATTCATGGTAATTCCTTCAACACCCAGAACAATGCTGGTGTATAATAAATATCTGTTGAATGAGTAAGCAAGCACGGAGGCAAGGGCTGTCCCATGCTGGGGACCCTGAGGTGGCAACGGAAGGGGTCAGACATGGCACCTTCTTCTTGCTGCAGTAGATCTGCCATTTCTTCTCTGGAGGCAGTGCAAACACAGCCTCCCGGTTTTTGTCGGTGAGATCCAATTCATCCTGCAAAGACAAGAAATAAAACCCAGAGATGATTAACATTAGAATACTCAATGCTACAGGAAATTGCAACTCCCCCAAACCTATCCCTCAGCCTACTATCTTCCTCCAGAGAGTATCAAAGTATGATAGGGCAATTCCTCTTTGGCTAGAAATACAGCCCTACACCACCACCCCCATTCCCTTACATCTAGCCAAGCCTGGGCTGCCTCTATCCATGCTTCCCTTACTTCGCGTCCATCCCTACTTGTCTCTACAAATTCCGCCTTCCTTCTCTAGGCTCCCTGCTCCCTGTCCATCTCCTTCCTGCATTGCTTTGCTAGTTCCTAACCCTCTTGCCCCAGGTTTCTAATCTTCCTTTCCTTGTCCTTCTTAAGTTTGTCAACATCTTAAGTCAAGGCCTGACAAAGCACTCAGTCTATAGACCTAGATTTTACCCCCATCCTGCAAGGATCCCTGCCCTTTGAGTTTTCCCCCCAGAAATGCTCTGGTTCCCCCAACCTCGGCATGGTCCCAGCACAGGCTGAGGAGAGCTGATGAGGACAAGAAGCTGTGCAACTCTCCTGGCAAGAAGAGTATGCCACGGCAAGGGAGCTACTGATCTGCTTGCTACAGAGGTGCGCCTGTCAGAGGCAGCTCCTCCACTCACACAAGTCTGAGGGCTCCATCAGGATAACCCACACTTCTCAAGCAGTAGAGTTGGGTGGTTTCTGATGTCATCAAATTTAGGGTCATTCTACAGGTGGTTCGGAATAACACCGTAGGTTTGCCTGTGCTAGGTGGCCTCTAATAACCTCTCTTACTGAAGATTTTTCACTTGTGATTCATGAGCTATGCCAAGGCTCATCAAAGACATAGTTAATAGGCCACAGGAAACATAGCCTGCTTTTCAACTCAATTATTGTGAGAGCTTTCTTTTTCGAAATCAAAAGCAATACTTGCATTAAGATAGTAAAGCATACTATTAATAATCTTTATATTTTCAAAAGTGATAAAGAGTGAAAGTAATATTAAGAAAGTCTAAGGGTCTTGAATATCAATATCCCTTTTGCTATACTTTTAAGGGAGAATATTGAAGACTTTCCTTTAGGTAGATCAGAACTGTCCAATGGAAATACAATGTGAGCCAAATGTATTTTCAAGAAATTTCTAGTCCTAGTAAAAATTAAAATGGAATAGTTGAAGTTATATTTAATAATAGATTTCATTTAACCCAAAATATCTAAAATATACTCATTTTAACATGTAACCAACAGAAAAAAATATCAGTGAGTTTGAAAGAAAGAAAAGCATCTAAGTCTGGTGTTTATTCCATCCTTATAGCTCCTCTCAGTTCAGACCAGCCACATCTCAAATATGCAACAGCCCCAAGTGGCCACAGCTGCCCTCTTGGACAGCACATACAAAGATAATTTGAAACAATGCCCATCACTTCGCCTGCCTTTGGAACTAAAGATTCCTGCAGATCTAATGCTAAACAAAGGTTCTTCCCTAGAGTCACTGTCTACATATACCAGTAACATCCTTAGTCAAGATTCCTAGCACCCTACGCTAAAGTTTCCGGAGTATTTCCTTTCCATGGTCAGAATCAGAGATCAAAGAAAGAGCAGAGATATATGCACCTTATGCTTCCGGTGCAAAATGCATCTCTTCTTTTTTTGCTTATACGGTTAATTCACCTGGACTACCACCCACCCTACAGACCCTGGTCTAATTTACCCAGGCTCAAGGTCAGCCTCTTCCAGCAAGCCTTTCAGAGCCATTCCTAGCTAAGACCACCTTTTCCTTCCTGAACTCCAAAGCAGTTACATTCAAACTTGGATTCTGGTTACGTATGTATTTGTCTCTTCTCATCAGTGGTCTCTGTCGCTAAATCAATGGCTATTTCTTGGTGATTTGGCTCAGCCCAGGTAGCCTATGACTGCCTGAAGATCATTCACTCCTTATTGAAGCTCCCCTAGTTACTGCGACAACCACGCTCTCCGGTAATCCCTCCAGTTTTGCTCTATGTTTGTCTTGGGCTCCCTTGATGTCTTTTTGTCCTCTTTCCTACTGTCAAATGTTGAAGTCCCTCAGGGCACCATTCTGGGTCCCAGGGTCTCCTTCCCGTATGCTTCCCCAGGTAAAAACTTTCCAGCCATTCCCAAGGACTGTTACTACTCAGACTCTCCTGAACCTGTGGCTCCAGCCCACCAATTTCCTGAGCTTCAGACCGTGGGACCCAACTGCCTCCTGTGCCTGTCTATTTTGATGCCCCTCAGGTACCTCACACATTTATATAGTGTCACTTCATGCCAGGCACTGTTCTAAGTGCTTAATGTTTACTCATTTTTTTAAATTTTTTTTTAATGTTTACTCATTAAACTCACAACAATCCACTTTACAGATGTGGAAATTGATGCACAGAGAGAATATGCAAACTGAGCTCATTATCCCAGGCCCCTTAAACAGGAGTTTCCTCTGGTATCTCTTGTCCTTTACAGGGCCCGAATATCTACCCAGTTCCTCACATCAGAAACTTGGGTATATCATGATTTCTACTCACTTCCCAAGCCCACTAAGTCCTATTATTTCCTCCTAAATAACTCTTCAGTCTGTCTTCTCCATCCTCACTGATGACACTTTAGTCCAAGATATCATTCTCCCTAGCTTGGATAACACCAAAACCCTCCTAATGGTCTTCTCATAACCCCTCTTCAACAGAGAATTCTGAATGGTCTTTTAGAAGACCATCCTGCTTTGGTGACTTCCTATCAACCTTAGGATTGAGTCTGAAATCCTCACTCTCATCTTCCACGGTGAACCCCTAAAGGCCTAGCTCTTTTCTGACCAAAGATTCTCAGAGATGCTGCTTCTCCTGTTGAAGACAACCCTCTGTCATTGTTCTGTAACCCCATTCACTTCTCTAGCCATCACTCTTTTGGATCTCAGTGAAATGTTACTCTTTGGGGGAACCATTGTGACTCGCAGTTAAGAATTTAACTTCCCCGCTAGACATTGTCACAGGTTTATGAATGTTCCCTTTCCAAACACTACTCTTGTCATTACTGTTCAAGACCAGTCTTCTCTATTAGATGTTACATGCTTGGGGGCAGGATCTGTGCCTATTGGTTTATCACTAAATTTATGAGATCCCTACAGGTCTCAGCACACAGCAGGCTCTCAAAGAACCTTTTTCATTTGTCTGCTCAATGCTGGTCTCAATGCTCAAAACTAGCTCAATGTTAGTTTGCTCAGTTTGTTTGCTGAGGTTAGTTCTCCTTGCAGACATAAGACTTGTGTGACTCATCCTTGCTTTTGTCAATGTACTTTGTAAGGAGTCCTGACCACTCCTAAGATGTTCAATAAATATTTGCTGAATAAAAGAGCCAAAGAAAGGAACATTTCTCATCCTGTCCTCCTTTCAAAGCTCATGTGCTCTGTTCAAGAAAATATACCTGCTCTGATAATGTAGGAAATATATTTTTTATCTTTGTTCCCAGTTCATAGCATAAAATTCCCAAATCCCTTGGAATTCTATGAGTGACAGAAATTGATAGGAGCATCTTTTGCTCCTGACACAGAGCTCCTAAATCACTTGGAATTTCCTGGGTGGCAGGAGCCTCTGTTCTTCTAGTGAAACAACTCTGGTGGGACCCTAGATACCTTCATGGGGCTGGCCACCAGAAAGATCAAGCTTTGATTAGAAGCCTAGAATTTTCAGCCCCACTTCTCAAACTCTGGAAAGAGAAGAGAGACTGAAGGTGAAGGTAAAAATTTATCGTACTTACATGATGGAATGTCCATAAAAACCCCTACATGACAAGACTTAGAGGGCCTCTGGGTTGGTGACCACATTCACATGACTGGGAGGATGGTGCACACAAACTCTATAAGGCAGAAGCACCTGTGCTCAGAACAGGAGCCCTACCCTTCTGGGCCTTACTCAATGTAACCCTTCATCTAGCTGTTCATTTGCATTCTTTGTAACATCCTTCATAATGAACTGGTGGTAGTAAGTGAAGTCTTTCCCTACATTCTGTGAGCCATTCTAGCAAATTATCCAACTGGAGGAGAAGATCACAGGAACATTCAACTTGTAGCCACATCTCTCTGAAGTGTAGGTAACATGAGGACCTACTTCTGACTGGTGTCTGGGTGGGGGGCCATTTTGTGGATCTGAGATCTTCATCTGTGGGGTCTGTTAACTCTGGGTAGTTAGTGTCAACATGGAGTTAAGTTGTAGGACACAAGTTGGTGTCTGCAATGAATAAAGGAATTGCTTGGTGTGGAAAACCCACACATTTGGTGTCAGCAGTATTCTGAGCAAAAAAACAAATCTTAGTAGTAGTTAACACCAATCAGGTTCTAAATGTCATTCTAACCTAGTAAACACTTTGTCCTCTCCCACCCATGCTCCATCCTGAGAAAAGGAGGAAGGTTTCCTGAACCTGAGTTCAGGAACAACAATGAGTTTCCCTAAACCTGATGTGATGAGGAAGGTGGATAACTTTTTCCCATAACCCGCATGGTTTTATCTTATAGTGGTCCAGTTATCTGAAGAGCTAGATTGCCTTAATCAAATACAGTCATTAGCAAAATCAAGTGTGAAATCCCACTTCAAATCACACAGCATTTTTTCTCTACTGGCTTGACTACTGGCCAGCCGTGAGAATGAGTGACCAAGAGCTAATGGTAGATGAACTTGTGCTTATTACTCTATGCAGGATTCAGGCCCGAGTCCTGGGCATGGGTCCTGCATCCCTGGTCTGGCAGTCCCCTTGGCTTTGTCTCACCGTCATACCTCCAAGAAGAGGAATCATGCTTCTTTCCTGTTCTTTTTGTGGTCAGAGTATAGAGTTTCACATACTCACTTTGTGAGGGGTTCTCGCAAAGACATAGTGTGCTCTAGTCTAAATGAGCATTACAGAGTCAGGAAGAGCTGCTATCAGTGTGAAAGACAGAGCTTCCACTGCCATAAGCTAGACATGGGATATAATCACCCAGCCCTGAACTAGGCACAATAGAGGCATCTCTACCTCCATATTTCTAGTCAATCATTCCCTGCTTTAAAGATCTGGTATCTGCCCACAGATTCCCAGTCTCTCCCTTGTTCCTATATCTGAGTTGAAAAGATCCCAGGGAAGCTCCAGAGAGCAGGAGAGAGAAAGGTGTCAAGTGTTCTGGTATTCTTCGAAGCTCCTCACTGCCTTATTCTACAAAAGCCTGGACCTGTTCCTTTCATGGTAGCCTAACTGCTGTGCCATGAGGTCTTGGAGATACGAAGTAGGTCCGTTCTTCCAGGGACATGTTTCCTGGAATCCAGACCAGTGAATGACTTATTTCTCCCTCACAGCTGAGGCATCCTAAGAGGCTCACCCTAGCCCCAAGCAGAGTTTCAAAGGTAGAGATCCCTGCACATGGGTCTCTGCCCTCTGTCCTGCTCTCCCTGCTCCAGAGTCCTCCTCCCCCTTGTCAACATCCTCCCTTCCCTATCCCCTCACTGACCACCAGCTCTGCGAAGCGGACGTTGAGCTCCTCTGGGTTTGGGATAGGACTTGAGAACTCCATATACTGCAGAGGATGGGTGTCCCGGAGGTTGATCTCAGGAAGGCCGCTGCCTCCAAAGCAGCACAGGAAGCCCAGGCCATGGCGGCTCCTCTTGCGGGGGGCCATGGTTACTCCAGGCCAAGCAGGTAATCAGCAGGCAGATGCCCTAGGTCCTCATCGTGATCTGGCCAGGAGAACAGACAGCACAGAGTAGTCAGGCAATGGCAGCCAGGTAGGCAGGGACAGTGATCACTGAGCCACCGTAACTTCTTTGCCAGTTGTTAGAAGCCCTCAACCCAATAATCAGGCCCATCCTCCCTTCTCTCACAGCTTTCTGTTCCCTCCAGCTCCTTTCACCTGGAAGCATTTCTTTCCCATCGTGTCCTCTAGTATCTCCTGCCACAAACACTTTCAGATTCTCCCTTCATGCCCCGTGAGAACAGAGGAGGGTCGCAGTCACAGATGGTGAATTACACCCTCTCCATGATTGTATAGATGGGTATCCTCTATCCTCTGGCAGAGCCCTTTTCAGAAGGGCTCAATCAGTCACTAGATTCATTTTAAGGTGTATAGATGCTTGGTTTAAAGGTTTCATCCAGGGCAGCTCCAGTGGCCCAGTGGTTTAGCGCCACCTTCAGCCCAGGGTGGGATCCTGGAGACCTGGGATCAAGTCCCATGTCAGGCTCCCTGCATGGAGCCTGCTTCTTTCTCTGCCTGTGTCTCTGCCTCTCTCTGTGTGTCTCTCATGAATAAATAAATAAAATATTTTTAAAATTTTTTTTTAAAATAAAGGCTTCACCCAATGGAAAAGGAAGGGCTGAAGTAGGCTGGTGGGGGGATGGCATGGCTCTTGGGAAGTAGAGGATAGAAGTCTTCAGAGGCCTGTAGGGTTTTTTGCCAGACTGTTGTGCTCAGGCATGTCTAAGGGAAAGTGAACTGTCAATAGGGCATAGGTTCACCCATCTATCTAGAAGGAGAGGTAACCCGGGGCAGTCATCCCTGGGGGAGTGAACCCCAAGTAAGGAAATGGAGCTGATCATTGGGATGATGGTCCGCCAATACTGAAGAAAATCTGGTCAGATTTATTTTCCATACCAACCAAGAACAGAGGGCACCACTTTGGCCAGAGACCAAAATCATGAACACCCTACAGTTGAGCGGTCACTGTAACAGAAAACGTTAAATTTCTAGCTTGCCACTGGGAGAGCCTGATTCAACGGTGCCCCAGCTCAAGGAGGAATGCTGGCTAGCCCTAGTTGTTGATGCCACAGAGCTTCTAGATAGATTAAGCCCAACTACCTGCACATAGGCTTTCCAAAAGGGCTAAAACCACTCTTGACCACTACTGGTTCCTAAATATGCTTTCAGATAACCTGGTGTGTTCAGGAAAGCTTACCCACAACACGGCTGCCCAGTCACACTTCTATATCTTTTTTTTTTTTCCACATAAAAAGGATGCTCTTTCCCCTATTATTAGCACAGGTCTGGGTCAGGGTTTTTTAAATTATAAAATACACATAACACAAAATTTATCATTTTAACCATTTTTATGTATATAATTCAGTGACATTACATGTGCTCACATTGCTGTGCAACCATCACTTCTATCCAACACCATGATTTGTTCATCTTGCAAAACAGAGACTCTGCATTCATTAAGAAATAACTTCTCATTTCCCTCCCCCCAAACCCCTGATGACGACCTTAATTTCTGTCACTTAGGAATTTGACTACTCTAAGTAGCAACATGAGTAGAATCATAGGAGTAGAATCATACAGTATTTGTCCTTTTGTGACCACCTTATTTCACTTAGAACAATGTCTTCAAGGTTCATACATGCTATAGCATGTGTCATAATTTCCTTTTTTCTTTTAAGGTTGAGTAGCATTCCTCCGCATGTATATACCATGTCTTGTTTATCCATTCACCTATCAATGGATACTTGGGTTCCTTCCTCCTTCTGGTTATTATGAATAATGCCACCATGAGCATGGGTGTATTAATCTCTCTTTATGTCCCTGCTTTCAGTGCTTTGAGATGCATACCCACAAGGGGTCAAGATATTTTTGAGTCTTGACTCTAAGCTATTTCTCCTAGGTTTGATCATTAACAGAGATTATCAGAATATATTCATGGTCTTTACCCATACCATTGCTAAAAATGTTGACCACTACAAAGATACAGACAGACCCAAAGGGCACAGCTGCCTCATCTGAGAATGCCAAAAAACATGTCATCAACACTCTCAAGGAACAGTCCTTCAGCCAGCTTGGAATCCATGAACCCAAGCTCTTATCCAGCCCTCTATTCTATAAAGACACCATATGAGACTTTTTCTGAAGCCTTGTGGAATTTGAGATATGCCAAATCTAGGGCACTCCATAGAATGGAGCTCTAGACCCTTATCATAAAAAGATAAATGTGTCATAACTTGCTCCTAGTGAACCCAAGGTAACTTCTGGAGAACATTGTTTTATTTCCTAAACCCTGACAATCTAGCTAGTAACAGTCTAATCTGATTAGGTCTCTCCTATAAGTCATGATACATTTTAATTGTCATTGCAGAGTTTTTACTGGCTCCATTTTATCTTTCTTTATAAACTTTGTGACAGGCTTTTTAATAGACCCAGGAGAGCTTCAAATAACACAGTGAGGTTGCCTTGTATTATTGGTTATTTTTTTGTGTGTTTACAGATTGGCTCTCCCACAGCTATAGCGAAGACTTCTTGAGGGCAGGGGCCATGCTTCTTGCTTTTTTGAAACTCCTCCCACTTCTATAGCTAATAAAATGCTTTAGTGGTGCTCAATACATATTTCTTGGTCAATTGGGAAATGGCCTGTACTCATGAAAAAGATAGGCCCTCATCAATAAGTCAAGAAACAGTAATTGAAATCTTTGACTCCTAGCAGTCGATAAGCAATCAGAAAACTTTATAAGGAACAAGGCAACAGTGCTGAGGCTGGGAAGAGGGGAAGAAGCCAGTGGGCTAACTCAGCAATCCTGGTACATGGGGGCAAAGACCCAAAATAGGCTCACAGCTAAGGAAAATGAAAGACAAAACGAGGCTTTTGGGTTTTCCATGGGACTTGACAGCCACTCAGCCAAGAGGGGTGAGACAAAGCCCTGGTCTCTGGCTATCAGGCTTAGCAAAGTACCAATTCTGCAGGCAGATTGGGGTCAACCAATTGTCACCTGGGGGTCACCTGCCTATTGTCAAGTTTGGGATAATGCTGCAGAGTACAGACCAGGTCCCTGTTGTTTCATCAGCCTCCAGTATGCAGCTGCAGCTGGTATAGAAGCTGTTTTTTCAGGGCACAAAGCATGAGAAGGACACTCCCAGACGCCACAGTGAGGCTGAGCTGACAGTATGATGAGGTTCAGGGGAGGGACAGGCTGATGACTGACAGGATCTGTGAACTCACTTCTTGTCTTCATTTCTTCAACTTTTCACTCCCCAGCCTCCCTCTTTTCTGTCTTTGCTCTTCAGCTCTTAAGCCAGACTTTCCTAGTAACAATCAAGAGTAGGGGCAGGATTGGCATATAGTTGGCACATCCTGTTACAGCCTCATACCAGCTGTTTACAGCCATGACGCTCTGACTGATTGGTGTCATGACATACTTGTCATTATATACTTTTTAACATTTTCCTTGAGTACGGGAGTGAGGTGGTGTGGCCTCAGGAGGACAGGAGATGGAGATACTGATCTTCCAAATAGAAGTACTGTCCCCACAGAGAAGGGCCTGAGCACCAGGGGGAGTGGTGCATATTTGCCCTTTTAAGGGAAGGCCTATTTGACAGATCCCCACTATGCTGATGTTCCTGAGGATGCCCTACTCCCAGTGACCCTTTCTTAAGTCTCTTAGGGCCTCACTTGAACATCCAAGTCTAAAACCACAGACTCTCAGCTGGAACGCATGTAGCTTTTCACCATAGATTAGAAAATTGAGATCAAAAGAGGAAAAGTCTTATCTGAGGTCACACAGCCAGGAACAGAGCTGAGATTGAAACCCAAGATGCCAGTGTTCAGGCTGTGGTCTAGATCTCATCTTCCCATGTCAGTGGACCCTTTCCCCATCTTGCCCCAGTCCCCCTTTTACTTCTCTCCACCAGTGAAGACCAATTTCTGCAGCTTCATTTAGAAATATCTCCAGTCATGAAGATGCTGTCTGGGCCAGAAGAGGGTTATGGAGATCCTGAAGGCTTCCTTCTTCTCCACTGTGAGAAGGAGGGCTTCTAGCTCCCACCGCCCCCATTTCTCATCTACCCTACTCTAAGCCCTCCTACACCCCAGCAATCTTCCAAGTCAGACGACTGGGATTTGACTCCTGGCTTTGCCCGCCCACCCCAACTGGGTGACCCTAAGCACATTTCATAAGGTCCTAACCTCCCAGAGCCTCAGGTTCTATGATACCAAGATAATCACAGCACCTTCCCCAGTGGGTTTCTGTGAAGAATCAATGCAGTAATGTAGATAAGATACCTGGAGCACACTGGGTACTCTCTAAAGGAGGTCAGCACTGCTGCTGTGCTCATTATCATTATTGCCAGCTCACCCTACCCAGACAGAGCCTGCCACCACAAGCCCTCTTCAAGCACAGCTGGAACCAGGGCCTGGCATTGTAAGAATCTGCCCAGCCTGATTTAGGAAGCCACACAGCTTTGCCTTCAGTCACCAGGAAGTCTGGAACTGAAGGGATGGTCTTCTCCTTCGGCTCCAAACTGACTCTTGTTGGAAGGGGGAACCCTCATCCCTGACTGGACTGGGAGTAGAAAGGGGAAGGGGGCCAAGGATGAGGGTTTCCTCTTCCAACAAGAGTCAGCTTGGAGCCCAAGGAGAAGCCCAGCCCCTCTTGTTCCTTTCTGGGAGATCACTTCACAAAGAGAAACAATAGAAGGGCCCACCTCGAAGGACAACTGAGAAGCAATATAGAAAAATGAGAAGCAACAACAGAATGAAACCCAGTGGACTCTAACACCAGCAGAGGGATTTAACCCACCCCCACCCTCAATCACCTTTCTCTCCGTGAAGATTCACTGAACACCAACACCTCCATGCTCTTCACATTCTGTCTCCTTGACCCCTCCTATTGTCCCTGTGGGATCAAGGTCTTCCCAGGCCCACAGACCAACTGGCCTAAAACAGCAAACTGTCAGGTCATGAGGCATTAGCCCTCCCGTGAG